CAAATTTAGTAGTGAGTGGCGATGGAAAGAAGAAAAGTAAGTGACGAAGAAGAAAAGGAATTCAAGAATGATTCAAAATTTCAAAGTAGGTGGCCAGGAAGCAGAAAAAAGAGTGACAAAAAGATGATGAAAGAGGTCGCATCGTCACACAGTTATCATTAATGTGAACATCTTTTATAATATCCCTAAAGATAATTCTAAAAAATTTGTAATACCATACAAAATATTCATATACTGGTTTTACAAGGCAGAACTTGGAAATGGGCTATGAATGAGTACTGTATAGCGCAGAATACCTACTCTAGAAATAATTCTATAGCATCGTACTACAGCCGTAGGTACCTGTTTTGACCTACCATCTCTCAAGCAGAAGTTGGTTCGAATCCCGACTTAAATCTCTCAGTTTTTCGAAATTTATGTGCGAAATGTAAATTGAAATTTACTATGAGTTTTTCGGTAAAGGAAAACATTGTGAGGAAATCTGCAGTAACAGCCCAAGCTTTTCCAATATGAGAGGAGGCCTTTGCCCAGTAGTGGGACTATATATAGGCTAACTAATATACATCGCAACTAATACAGAATAAATAAATCTAATCTATCGTTCTATTCAATCGTTGAATTGAGTCGATTATAAAAAAGTTTCATCGTGTAGAAAATTAAATTTTCCTCTTACGGAGCATTAGGCACGATTCTTTCCGATGTCTGCATAATCGAGATTTCATTTGAGTTTCGAGTTGCGACGTCTGTCGTATCTCGTTTCGATGCAAATCGGAACGGCTTGACGGTTGAATTATTTAATCGAGCGATGAGTGGCTCAAGCAGCCATTCGATATGGGGTAAAAGGGCATTTTTCATCTCATTGACTTTTTACTTCTTTCGACTAGAAAAAATACGAATAAATACAATCGACTGATCGATGATCCCCAATAGATATGAATCTTAGTAGATTAGTTTCACAAGAATTTCTTATTACTCGTTTTGTTCTACTTTTAAGAAGTTAATTATAGATCTGAGATTTAATAAACTAACTTTGCAGATTAAGTAGTGTTAAAAGTCTACATTCGCTGGTTTGCACCACACTTATCGACACAGAATTGCATTAAACCGAAACATAAATATTTAAGGCGCAAGAACTCCCCTGTAACGTAACATCCAAGGTTCGATTTCGAGCATTAGGCTGCGATTCCACCAAAGATGTGCTTGCCTGCGGGTACCTGTGAGTGCCTGCGAGTGCCTGTGAGTGTCTGCTAGTGCGTAAGCGAGTGACAAAAGATCACGAGAACTTAGGCTTGGGGCAATATTTGCCGTGTTAAAATAATGACACTGTCTAGATGGTAAGAATGATACGATAATGAAATCAAAATGTGTTAAAGGGTTATTTGTAAAGTACTATAACCCTGTATATTATAGAGTATACTCAAAACCAGGATATTTTTGTCACATGTCTGGATTGCAAAAAAAAATCGTAGCATATTAAATAAAATTAACGACTTGACAGTAATAATAATAAATATAATTACATTGCAACCATCACAGTTTTTATCCGTTAATAATTAAGCATTCTTCTTTATATAACATGCTACCTATCGCAGTTTTTCTATACTTTGGTAGACACTTAATTATCTACGTAATTAAGTAGTTTAGTCCAAGTGTAATCGATTACAATACTTAACTAAGAAAGAGTGAGTGTACAAAAAGGTAATGCTGTCAATTTTATACACAACGTCGGCTAAATTCGTAAACCTTGTAGGCTCCATTAATATGAACTGTTAAGTAGGCACAAAAACAGAATTACTAGAAATAATTATATGACAATGTGTGATTGTGATTATACCTTTATGTTAAAGTAAAAAAGGGTGTACAAACGTATTTTTGAGATTTTTTGTGAAATTTATTTATTTATTTATTTATTTATTTATTTATATATAACTCCATTAGTTTTATTATGATTTTGAATACAAAGATCGAACACACAAAACATTTTTTTTCGTCTACCCGCTGGGAGTTGAACCCACGTCCATGCTTCACCGTAGCGTTGCTCTTACCAACTGATAGCGGCGATGAATACCGAAAGCCAGTACAAAAGCATTATAAGAAAAACACATAGGAGAATTTCGACGTCTCGGTAACTGGACCCGTAACTCAGGTGGTAAGAGCAATGCTACGGTGCAGCATGATCGTGGGATATAGTCCCACAGGGTCGACGAAAAAAAATTCTGTGTGCCCGATATTGCGCTTAAAGAATAAAAAAGGGATTTCATCCAAAAACGGAGTTACGAGGTTTTCAAATTTACCGACGATAATTAGGTACGTAATCTTACGAAATACCTATTACAAAACGGGAATGTATTAATAAGGTACGCCTACTTTTCCCGTTTCGTTTGTCAGTTCTTGACCACGTTAGATAAATAGATAAAAACTTAATTTTAATATGTCTTAAATACAGATTAAATACGAAAGAAAAATCATTATTTTGTGAAAGGGCGCTGACTGCTTAGTCGTATACCCAAATTCCATAAGGCGTTGGTTTTCAATCAGGCAGGATCCATGAGAAAGATTAAATGTAGAAACTGCAAAAAATTAAGATACAACTACGAATAAAGTTATTCAATGGAATACTCGTAATATAATATCGATGGCTTTCTAGAATAACGGCCTCGAAAACAGATCGCCACAGAACGGAAGTGCATTTTTGTAACTTATATATACCATAATGAAATTTACATCAATATTTGTAACGTACAAACTAGATACGATACGCTATCTGTGGGAATTCCCGAAGCTGCGCGAGAATCCTTCGGAAGACGCTATCGGGATCTAGTTTGAAATTTTATGAAAAATAAAACGCGTGCGGGTTTTACAGTTTTGATTATAAATAAATTTATTATGTTTTGGTGTAATAAATCATAGTTTTTTTTTAAATTAAGCGTAATGTAATGCGAAATTTTAAAAGACCATCTGTTAACTACTCTATTATCTTGCTTTAGATGCTCTCTTATCTTATGTGAATGCTACCAGGGCTTCTTCACTCGCTCAAGATTACGCGATACAGTGCCTATCGCTGAGTGCGGCGACGTCGGTGCAAGCGCTCATACAAGACTTTCATTTAAGAGCATTCGACTCCTCACGACTGCACACGGCGGGCAACGTTATTTTCACATCTATAAACGCCTGTTTAGGACATTTTTTCTCGTAGTGAGTGCCTGGTGCCATTTGTCAGATTTAGTAGGCTATTACAGCGTAGTTGTTTTCGATTTTGTATGAGAGTGGTGTATTTGTTACGTAGTAACTATTAAGTAATCTATGGTACTCTCACAACAGTTAACGTACTACGTGCAATAGTGTCAATGATACACGGACATTTTTACTGTTATATCTTAGGTTGATAGATTACTTGACTTTAAAACAATCAGCCTACAGTTTACCTAGAGCTACAACTACTTATTTAATACTAACTTAAGGCGTAAACAACTCATTTATAGGCACTTGTTTGTACAACTGGTTGATGACATCATGGACTTTCGCAGACACTGCTTCTATGAAGGGGGGTCCAACCTCCGTCATCAGATCTCGCCAGTTTTCGTTTAACACATGGTTGATACCGTCGCCTGAGAAAAAGTAACGTTTTATTGTATATAACGATCGTAACTATCATTGATAACTGTAAGAGGTGTGGGGTATAATAAGAACAAAGAAATCTTGCATATCAATAATTCACAATTCTGAAGTGGACTTCTCTCGGACTTCGAACTTTTGAAACTTCATTCTCTCTTATTTTATTGGTTCACTATTTATAAGGAGCTCAAACTGAACTGATCGAGCGCGGGTCGGGTACACCATCCCGCATCCATGCTCAGTATGTTGTCGTCCATATAATACATGGAACTAGACCCGTAGCGATCCCACCCGACTCGCGCCCGCGCTACGTTTCACACTGTAAGCTAACAACTCGACGAGCCCAATTTAATGAGACCAAACATGATAGTTCTACCGTAAGTTATTGATCAGCTGAGTAGTGTGCGTTGTCCTGGTTGCAGAATCAAATTAAAGTTATAAATTATAATAATAAATAAAAATAAAAGTTATAAATAATAAGTAAGTAAATTATATTATGTATTATTATTCTAATGTCATCGAATGTCCAAACCAAATTTCGATCGGACAAGTAACATAGACATTAATTTTATGACTGATATCCCTATACTGACACGAATATAAAAGCCGATCTCAAAAGTTCGTGAAATTACATCTATTTGCCAAGTTTTATTGCAATCCTACCTACCGCCTAGTTTGTCACCCTTACAGTAGAATATTATGTTCAAATTTGAATGGGGCCATATTCCTCAATACCCTCTTTCCTACAAAAATCATCAAAATCGGTTTACAAATGCCAGAGTTATCGCGTAACATACATAAAAAAATACAGTCGATTTGAGAACCCCCTCCTTTTTTTGAAGTCAGTTAAAAAGAGCTTATGATCTTTAATCAGCTGAACAGACTTAATTTTAATTACAACTCACTTCTCCCTGTCCTATCCCATGCTAGGTGGGGTCGGCACACCCTGCTCCCCTATCAGCCGTCATATTTATACTCACACCTTTCTTATCCATGTCATCTTTCACACAATCCATCCATCTTTTCTTTGGCCTTCCTTTCCCCTTATATCCCTCCACATTCATACCTAGCACTCTTCTTGTCACATGACATTCTTCCCTCCGCATGATATGTCCATACCACGCTAACCTATTCTCCTCGTCTTTTCCGTCACTGGCGCCACTTTCAAACTTCCCCTGAAAACGCACACAGACACTATGATGTATATACATATACATACTACAGTATGATAAAATTAAATAGACTTCGACGCGATTGTACAATAATATCCGTAGGTAATAGAACTGCTTACCGATAGCATTTCCTCCCAGAATATTGGACATATGTATCTTGACGTTTCCATACTGTTGGCTGGTTTTTAAGTCGTAAGTCTCCATGTGTTCGGCGCCATCAGGTCCTTGAACTTTCCTGATCTTGAATTTGATCAGCACATCTGTGTTATCTGAAACCAACATGTAAACGTTTCTATAATACAATTTCGGTTGATATTGAAACTTTACCGTTTACGACAATTAAAATTGTAGTCAAACAAAACTTTATACTCTCACTATTGATAAAAATGTAAAGCATACTTCCCGACGTAGTGAAAATAAGATATTTATAGCGTTGTTGTATTTCGACCATTTCTCTGATAGACTTCTTTTTCTTGGAACTCATGCCAGATAGGTTAGAAGTATTTCAGGGAAAAAATATGCATAACTAATAATAATGCCAGACAATCACACCAATTTTCTGGTCTCAAACTAGGGAAATTCCTATACTGTGAGTACCAGAATAACGATAATTCCGTAGGCAATAATGCCTAGAATACATAGACCAGAACCAATATAAAAATGTTTGTTTCACAAACTGACCAAATCTGTAATCGAACTCGGTGCCTCCTCATCAAGCGCCCATTGTACTAACCGCCGTGCCAGCGAAAAGAGCACACCCCGAAAAACATACGCCGAGGCCGCCGATCCCGCCTTAGGTGGGGTACAGGTCTCTTACTAAATACAGCTTCTGCATATTATTTGGCTGATAAAAATCTATAGTAGTGACCAGGGGGCCTACCATAACCTTTCCAAGAACAATCTTATTTCAATGTAAGCTTGAAGTAAGCTTGATATAATATTACTCATATGCGTACAATGGCAAACTTGTCTACTAAGAAATATATTATTGCTAAAATGACTGAAAGAACGAATGATTTCCCAATATTGCCTATTCTTTACTAAAAATAAGAAAGAAATAACGCTTTATGAATTGTATGATGCCATCTCTTTCTTTTTGATTTTCCGAATCGTGTTATCGTTGTATATGTTAAAGTACTTGAAGTTATTTACATTCAGAGAATTTGAACTGCCAAAAAAGAAAAGTATGTAATAATGAAATCTATTAAAATTACGTTGTTTTCAATTATTATTCCGCATTTTCTTGAAGAAAAATAAATAAAATAAGCTGAGTCTTGATAGTCACGTTGTGAATTCGGAACTATAGTCTAGTGTCAACTGTTAGTTTCGCCAAGTAGCATATAGATGGCGCTGTTATAATTTTACGAAATAAAAATCGCGTATTTTATTTTACGAGAAATTATTTCCTATGTGCTATTAAATAAAAAATAAACAAAATATTGAAGCGATATATGTAGATAAATAAGTTCATTTTAACTTTTAATCATTACAAATCAATATTAAGACAATAAAACTGAAAATAATATTGTTTCCATTGCATCCGTGTAACTATTTTAAGATTGCTAACTTTGACGTAAGAACAATATTAGTTTAATGTCAAAGTTGCGTTATGGTACGAATTGAGTGAATGAATAGTCACAAAGCTGCCAATATAACATTATAGTTTTAACATTACAAATAAGCTTACTTTAAGCGCGTTATGGTACGAAAAGTCAATGTAAGGTTAAAGTAATATTATTTTAAGAGGTTGTGGTAGGCCCCCTGTTCAGTTCTTCCAAATTGTTTCTATCGGTGTTGTGAATGATAAATGTATGCAAATGTTTATTTCCAAGAGCAACCTTTACAATTTCGCACTTATTCTTTTCAGGGGAATCTGCTTTATCAATATGTTGTATCTGGATAGTGTTTAACAAATGTGACGATTTCAAGTGTAATATGCTCGTCTATGAAACTAATCTTAGTTTTTAAAAGTACCAAAATTATTTTCTAATATCTATTTGAAAACAACTTTGGTACTTTTAATTTCTAAATTTATAATTTCGTTTTGATATTTGTCGCTTATCTTTTTATTACTACTAATACTAACTGTATTAGTAGTGCTTCAATGGTACCATTGCACGTATATAACTTATTGAATTGATATATGTAGATATGCTTATAGATATGTAGTTAAGAACACCTACTTGTCCACAATCCCGACATCGATTGGTTTAGAATATGGACTTTGACATTTATATGAGTAGTAGTAATGTTTATTAGTTTACTGTTATTGCAATATTATTTATGGGTAGTATACATTGCAATGAATTTGTAGCATTGCATCGTTAGTATAACAAATTATTTTGTAATTTAGCAAGGTGGCAGTACTTCCTTGGACGAATTCTTTCTATTGCTACTAAAATGTGCTATTTCACGATAATATAATTTCCAGTTCATGAAATTGTGAGTGACGCCTAAATTAATTTATTTGTTTTTCAGAATATTCTCACACGTACCCAATGACCAATATAAACCACACCCCTCAGTAATTATTCCCTTACCTCATAAACTTTCATTGATTGTAAGGTCTGTTACCAATGCCTACTTGTAACAGATGAAGGCGCCGGCAGGTAAGGTTATAAGTTACTCCGTGGAAATTAACCGCAAAGTTTGTTGTTGCCGGAAAGGCAAATTTGCTGATGAGCCAAATCAGTGGTAGGTAGATAGATAGATAAAACGTTCATCACACACACAAGAATATACTTAGTAAATGGATTAAAAGAGAAACACACACAAATTAGAATTAAAAGTGGAACTAAAAACAAACGATTAATATATTCAGGCGTTACCCTGCGGAAGTCCATGTCAATAAACATTTAAGTAAATTAATTGGCTACTCTGCGAACATGGTGGAGGTTAAATAATGCAAAATAGCTACCCTCCCTCCTGTGACAACTACAGTCACAGACACCACCACCGCCAAAAATATACCCGACACATGTTTCGCCTCTCTACGAGGCATCAGGGGTTGTTGATTATACGACACTCGGCCGAAGAAATTTTCTTATTTATTTCATTATCATCGTTATTCGCAGCTTGATTTCACCCACTGCTGGGTAAAGGCCTCCCGAAGCTTGTGTTATCCACCACGGTCCCGTGTTGGCCGCATCCATTGACGCCTCGCGACGCGTACTATGTGGTCGACCCACCTTGCAACAGGGCGCCCGCCTTTTCTTTTGCCCATCCTCGCCCACCAATCAGTCGATGCCTTGCTGCACCTGTTATCACCTTGCCTCGCTAGGTGCCCAGTCCCATTTGAGCATGGCGCGCTCCATCGCTTTATGTGCAACTCACAACCTGTATACCAGTCTCCTGCGTGAGCGTCCGTGTCTCGACACCATACGTCATGGTGGGCAGAACACACTGATTAAACAAGCGGGTCTTCAGACACAGTGGAACCTTGTCTAATTTAAGTATGTCATCTAACTTGCTAACCGCAGCCCATCCCAGCTGGATTCTTTTTGAGATCTCTTTAGGCTAATGCTCTTTGCCAAAGGACAGAACATGTCCGAGACAGACGTACTCGATCTAGATCGACTCTCTCCAGCCTCTCATTTCCCACCGTGACAGTGGTATTTGACGGACTGGAGAGATTCGTCATAATCTTCGTCTTGGACATATTCAAAGAAGCATCATAATAATATAGTAGTTCCAGCATCCTTTGGAGATGTCGAAACTAATACGAATACAAATAATACGAGATCGGATGCCAGCTGGATTCTTTTTGGGATCTCCTTAGGCTAATGCTCTTTGCCAAAGGATACAACATGTCCGAGATAGACGTACTGATAGACTCTCAGCCTCTCATTTTCCACCGTGACAGTGGTATTTGAGGGCCTGGAGAGGTACCTACGCCATAATCTTCGTCTTAGACATATTCATCCCCAGGCCATTTCTCAAAGAAGCATCACCGAGTTGTTCCAGCATCCTTTGGAGATCGTCGAAACTTTCTGCAAATAGCACGAGATAGTCCGCGAATCTAAGGTGAGACAAATGGACACCATTGATGTGAATGCCGCGGTTATCCCATTTAAGGGTTTTTATGACATCCTACAGTGCTGTTGTGAATAATTTTGGGAAAATGGTATCTCCTTGTTTCACTCCTCGCTGGATTGGAACGGGATTGGTTAAATCGTGAACTCGTACCTGCAGAGTGGCTGAACGGTAGAGCTCCCGGAACACATCCACCTAGCGCGAATCGATGTGGCAGCGATGAAGAGCGTGGAACACGGTCCAATGTTCCACACTGTCGAAGGCCTTCTCGTAATCGACGAAGACCATGACAAGGGGCCGGTTGAATTCGTGACACTTCTCCATCAGCTGATAGCCAGCCTGCTCAATAGGCTGCGCTTCGTCAAGTTCACGGATAAGCCGGATGGTCAAAATCTTTGTAAAAAGTTTATAAATCTGAGAGAGCAAGCTTATCGGCGGATAAGTACTAAGTTTTACAATGTCGCCTTTTTTGTGATGATGGTGACGATGGCATTCTTCTATTGCTCTGGTGTTCGAGCTTCATGAAGAACTTTGTTGGAAAGTTTCACAAGCACTTTTACCACATGATTTCTTCCTGCTTTGAGTAGTTCGACTGAAACACCATCATCTCCAGGGGATTTATCCGCCTTCATTTTGGATAGAGTATTTGTCACCTCGCACGGGAGAATTGGAGATAAGTTTTTCGTGGTAAAGTGTTTAATAGGCGGAGCCCGGGAATCGTCCCCTGTTAAATCCGGTTCTGCAGATGTTGATGCATATAAGTTCCTGTAAAACTCCTCGATGGTGGTAAGAATATTTTGCTCGGTCAGTTACTAAATTGTTATCTTTGCCTCTAGGTTTTGAAATTTATGAAAGTTTTATTACCCAGTTTATATACCTTTATATACCTTTGCAGCTACCAGTCCTAGCGAGAGATGTCGCTATTCACTGTATTTTAAATTTTTATTGAATTGATATTCAATTATTTTTGTGAATTTACCCACTAGTTTGTTATAAACATTAATACAAAGGTCGAACACTCAGAAAAAAATCCTTCGATCCGGCCGGATTCCAACCGACGTCTTCTAGCATACCATGCCAGACGCTATAGCAACTAAGCCACGGAACGAACCAACGGAACTCACGAATTTCGAAATTTGTTTTGTTCCAGAATTAGTTATTCTACGAAATACCTTAGGGCCCTTAAACTGTTTAATTGTGTCTATTACAATATTAGTGTTAAACGATATAATAATGCGCGTAATGGACTTATTAATCAATTTATTAATTTTATCTAGTTCCTTTTTGTCTGAAGCAGATTGGATATGCAATTTGTTTCTGTTTCCTATAAAATCAAGGGTTTCCTTTGTAAGTTTATGGATCTTCTTATCGGTTCCCAAGTGTATTTTCGCTGTCTCATTAATAGTCCTACACAACAGCTGGTTAATGTGATTCACGTCAAGGTTCAATTCATCAAGACCTTCGAATATGTTTTTGAGATCTATTTGGAAGGAATCTAGGAAAGAGGCTACTTCTTGTTTCCCGTACCTTCTTTTTGATGGTGTTTTCATCATCATAGGGTCGTATTCTAAAACTCTACTCAATGCTCAAGTCAGGATTGCACACAAGCACAAAATCACTGAAACACAAGCACTGGAAATATGACCCTAATGGCAGGGACTTGAGTATGATTTCGAGTGCTTTAAACCATACTCAAATCCTGACTTGAGCATTGAGTAGAGTTCTAGAATACGAACCTTAGTCCTTTAACTGTTCTGTTAAAATCGAATCTCAACCTAGCTCTAACCAACCGATGGTCGCTCCCAGTTTTGAAGCTTGACAGAACCGAGATATCTGTGACCACATATTTGTGGGAGCTTATTACGTAGTCAATTTCGATCCGAATTGTCCCAGGATGTACCCAAGTCCACTTTCTCGTCTCTTGCTTCTGAAAGAAGGTGTTCATGGCATAGAGCCCGTTCATTTCTAGGAAGTTAACTAGGATCTGACCTCTACTAGTACGTACGCTGAGACCAAAGCCACCTTCCGACCTTTCATTCACAAGAGGCTTGCCAATTTTCGCGTTGAAATCGCCGATAATGGTGGTATAATGGCATGATGTGTAAGCTAACGCTTTTTCTATGTCGTCATACAACTCTTCCACTTCCTCGATCGTCTGGTCTGAGGGATGTTGGGGCGTACAACACCTGGATTACCTTGATGGAGTATCGTTTGTTTAACCGTATTACTAAGTAGCAAACGCGGGTGGATATACTCCCAGTATCAACAATTTGATGTGCGATGTTTTTAGATATAAGGAATCCAACACCTCCAAAGGTAGAATCGTCATGACCTCTGTAGAAGAACAAATCACCTCACCAGCTTCATCAACTCTTCACCAGCTCGTCTTGCGTGCAGTTCAAGTTGACTTGAGACCGAGAGATGTTATTTGGGAGATATTATATTTATTTATTTGTAATGTTATTAATTTACTTCCTTTTTTAATAAAAACAAACAACATGAAATAAAACCACAAAACATAACAGCTTGTGTGTGATGCAGTAAGCCAAATAGGTTGTGGTTCATTGCGAAATTTTCCCAAAAGCAAATTAGTGATTTTCAGCCACCAGAAATTTTGTCAAAATAAAAAAAACATTGTGTAGTTTATATAGTGTGCATATGTGTTTTTTTTAATATTAGACAACATTACATACATTGCTCCGATCCCAAAGCAAGTAACTAAAGCACTTGTGTTATGAAAATCAGACACAACGTCGGTACCACAAACACCTACACCCGAGACAATATAGAAAAGTTAGTTTTTCTACATTGACCCGGCCGGGGATCGGACCCGGGACCTCAGAGATTGCGACACCAATTGGCGAAATTTGTAAATCGGCGAAAATTAGTCTGCAAGCCACTCGATCATTGAGTTCGTCAATAAATGTGAGTGTTATGTAGATAACAAATATTAAAAAATGGTAACAATAAAAAATTAAGAAAAATTGATAAATTTTATAATTAAAATTTCATTGTACGTATTCATAATAGAGATCATAATTATAATAAAAATAATAGTAATCAGTATTTAATATCGATGAAAGTCATTGCCAACAAAAAATGATAATAAATGCCAACCAACGTATACCAACATAATATGCGATAGCATTTTTTTCGTAGATCTATCTGGGTTTAGTAGCAATTGTTTATAAAGTGACTAAAAGAAATTAAAAAAAAAAAACTATTTGTATATGGTATAAACTTAGACATAAAATCGAATGTTAGTACAGTCATCAGTATGTTGTGCAAAGTCAATGGTTGTGCATTACAGTTGCAACTTACACATCACTCTTGTCATGAGGTGAATAGAGTCTATTTTTAAATCTTAACTTTTATAAATAACGTGCTATGTTAAAAGCTTGTGGGACTATTTAATTCCAACATTATCTAACGATCTACCGTCACATTTCAAAATTATGAAATAAAATAATTAAAAAGAAAATGTTAGATACAATGTAGGCAAATATTGAAAATTGTAATTGAGTAACTGAATTAACTATTTATGTTATGTGAAACTGCAATGTCAAAAAAACTTTTTCCACGTTTGAGAGAACCGTATGTCTATTTGTGAAAATGTTAAAAGAATAAATAAATTTAAAAAAATGTACTGGTGGTCTTGCGTAATAGATTTATGCTAATAGATATCCTGTAGACGGCAATAGATACTTACACATTTTCACAGCAAGTTTTCCACTACCAGTAATGGGTAGCAAGAGCACCCTTCCTTCAGTTTCATAGTCACTCGTAAATGAGAGGTTTCCGAAAACCTTCGTATGCCCAGACAGTTTTTGCAGGTCATACCTGTAACAAATTACGTGGGAAAAGTAAATACTTCTGTAAATACAATGACGATACCTACGTCAGGTAGGTATTGCAAAGTAGGTACGCGCAATTTTGTGCAACTCTGTGACGTAAATGTGCCCAAAATTGCCTTAACATTTCCATGGCCCACCGAATAATCATGTATGTAAGAACTATCAAAATACCAACTATGCCGAAAAAAAATATATAAAAATTTCAATAATTCTGCACCTGATGGATTTATTTCAAAAAAATTATTTGACCATATTTGTTATATAATTTGATAAGTATATCTTCAACTATAAATCTACGTTATATTATTTTACTCACAAATTAACAGCTAGACAACCAAAGAGGTTAGTATATTTCTAGCGCACGTAATACTAGGTCTGTGTATAATTCTTTTTTTTCTCATGCTTCGTGTACCTGCTGTAAATGTTTGTTAAAATAATTTCAGTACAGAGTACAAAAAAAAACCGACATGAAATATCCCCTAGTTCGCCACTATGCAGGACTTGACACAGGAGATAATAAAAATAGGTTCTCACTACTCAAAGTACGAGTATATTGAGAGAGAAAAACGCCTGAATAGGGGAATAGTACAATTTAGACGCTATTTATAAAAATGGATCTTTATCCGTGAACACCCTTAGAGGTGGATGATTTTCCTCAAAATGAAATGGGACCACTATGGAGGTACCGTCTTTCCAACAAAAAAAGAATCATGAAAATTGGTTCACAAACTCCGGAGTTATCGCGTAACATACATACAAAAAAAAAGTCGAATTGAGAACCTCCTCCTTTTTTTGAAGTCGGTTAAAAATAAAACGAATTGACGCTATCAGCGCAATAATGTTGTAACCCACGTAATATTTTTTTTTTACAATATTTCTGTAATTGATAGTAAAGTGCATAATTATATTATATTTGAATGCTATTTTTAACCGACTTTAAAAAAAGAAGAGGCTCAATTCGACTAGTTTTTTTGTATGTCTGTTACGCGAGAACTCAATTGCATTTTTTAACCGAATTTCATGATTCGTTTTTGTTGGAAAGAAGGTACCTCAATATTGGTCCCATTTAAACTTGAAGAAAATATGCCACCTCTTAGGTGGAAAACTAGAGGATGAATCTGGTTTCGCGCATTTTCTGGCAACCGATTTCAATAAAACTTGACAAATAGGTGTAATTCCACGAACTTTTTAGGTCGGTTTTTTTAGTACTGTGTAGTGAGATTATCATATATAAAAAATATATAAATTATTAACTTTTCTTTATACCTACATGAAAATAGTATCCAATTATAAAATAATTATGTACGCTTTAGTATCATTTATAGTAATATTGTAGAGAAAAATTGAATGTGGGTTACACCACTATTGCGCTGATAGTCTCAATTATAAATTTTACAGATTTGTATCACAATAAGTCTGATGTTACCTCATTTCTTTAATTTCCATTTTTCTCAACCCCTTTACAATGACATTGGTACTCTTAATACTGAATGTGCCAGCTACAGCGCTCACATTGTTCAAGGTCAACGGATCCAGAGGGTCTGTTAACTGGGGTATACCCTTGGCGAAGACCTTTTGAGAATTTCGGGCTTGTGCTGTGATGCAATTTGACAACTCTTCTACTGGCAAACTTTGAGAACACGGTGTTAGAAATGACGCTGGAACAGAGACAAATGGTGTTATGTAATTATTTATTTCCTTCCATATAATACGTGTTAATTTTTGTAGTTTACCGTATAGCCTGCTACATAAACAAGCGGTAAGAGGGTTTGCGCTCTTCGTTCGATTCGTATCAGGGGGGCTAGATCTCGATCTCCGTCAGACATCCGTCCGAAACAATTACTGTCAAATAAGTAATTTTCGACAAAATTAAAAGACAAGTATCCAGTATGAAGCTTCATTCGCGTCACGCGTGTTTTCATTTGGTCAAGTATTGCTTATTTGGCAGTAATTGTTTCGGACGGAAGTCCGACGGAGATCGAGAGTAGACCCCCAGGACCCCGATTCAGAACTCTTCGATATTTTAACCGAATCGTTCGATTGGACATCGTTCTCGAATCGAAGGGCGCTGTCCGAGTTCGATTCAGAACATTCAGAGTTAAACGTTCGATTCGGATTCGGATACGATATCATTATCCAATAGCGTTTACTAATAAATAGTTTAGTAATAGTTTAGTCGGTGAAATAGATAATAAAAAAATTAAAATACTTTTGTATACATTTTTAAGACTTTAAGGGCCTAAAATATAGGAATATTACTTAATCTTGCATTAAAATAAATTAATAAAATTGAACAAAATCCTGATTTTATTTAAAATAATAAGAGATTTCCATATTACATTCTTGCTTTGTAAACAATAGGACGTTCGGTAGCTTTCGTTCGATAACTGTGTTCTGAATAACGTTTGTAGCCTTTGCCGGTCGAGAAGTTCGAGTAATCATACGAGTGTGACATCATTTCGGTTCGGTTTCGAATACGACAGTTTGACGTACGATTCGGGTATTGTGAATAAAAATGAAAAGAAATTAGTCGACAACCGAGTTATCGTAAGGTTCTGAATCGACCCCCAATTCCGAATCCGAGAAATGACGGTTCGAAATATCACAGGGATCATTTTATCTCTAGAAGTACATGCAATATTTGTATTTTCTCGGAATGGAGTCGGATTTAGTGCACAAGCAACATCCGTAGCGGGTCCGAATTTTGTAGATTTGTATAGTTTATAGTTTAAAACGTCAAAAAAAGGAAAACGCATTATGTCCATGTGATTAGAACGAAAAAGACGTGCGTTTCGGCGGCTCGAGCCTTTTTCACTCATATTGCATGTATTAAACAAACGCTTTTTCCGACCGCGTCAATATGGAGTGATTCCATAATGAGTTGAGTACACAATATGTTCATGCAATACAATTTTGAACAACCAGAGCGGTTATGTGACGAGTCGTCGTGTGACGTAACTGAATCGTTTTTCATTTAAGACAGTATCGATTACAACCATAATTATGTAGTTAGATGTTAAATGAATTTGTATTGTTATATTTTTTTAATCTCTGGCTAGCGTTTGTAATTAGCCTATTGTTGTATGGTTATTAATTAGTATTATTATTAAATACGTACTACCAAATATATATTAAACAAGATTAACCAATTAATGCGTAAAAATAATTTTATGTGACTTCTACAATTTGCATTACTGTATGAATATTTCTTTGTGAAATTACATTTCTTATGATTATTAAATTAAATAAAACATTTAATTTAAAAATATAATTTCATTGTCTCATTTTAAGTAATTCAAGCACAGACCGAGGATTATGCTAAACAATTCAACTAACTCTAAAAATTAAGCATACACGAACGCCATCGCGAGGTACGCCATATGGACCTGGGTATAATTATGATATTGTAATTTTTTTTTAAATAGTAGAAGTCGTTACTTTGTTTTCAATTGGGATAGTATAAGCCGATTAGATACTTCGTCTTTAAGCTCGAAAAAGGTCGAAATGGCAAATCCGAAAAGTGTTTTAGACCCCCAACAAGACCAAATTTAGAAGTCAGGAATATCACACGGGTCTGTAACTGACTGAAATTTCTCAATTTTCTTTTATCATACCAAGTGACGAGACGAACAAGTCAAAGTGCACCTGGTGGTGTGACAAGCCAGACAAATCTTATAACAGTTGCAGTACCACTCAGAGCTTTAAATCACAAAGATCTGAGTGACACTCCCACTCAGCACACCCACATATATATATATATACTACAAGATATCAAATAGAATTTAATTCGATTGAATATTTTAAGAGTTCACATTCCCTCAAGATATCTCGAAGAAGGTTTCTAGATAATTTAAAGTAAAAGTGGGCACAACTTTATTAGTAGATCACAAGAGTGCTTTGAGAAATTATCTGTAGGTAGTGTTAAGAGTGGTTCTTATTTTTTTTCTCAAGTAACCCTTCTAGAATGCTAGAAGACCATTTGTAGAATGTAGACAGTTTTTAGATAATTTATAGTCAATGATAGTTTTCTTAGTAATACTATTTTAAAACCAAAATACTAAAGCGTACAAACAAACATAAGACGCAATTCTCTTAATACTAATTAAAAAAAAAAACAATATTAATAGACTTTACTGGATGTGTATAGAACAATTTTACTAAAAATAATCAGTTGTTCTACAGATGAACTTAAAAAAAGGACTATAAGAGTAAATCTTAAGAGAGATTTCACTTATTTGGGTTGTTTGGCATTAAGAAGGTGTTAAAATTTTGACTTGAGTGAAATAAGTCTATAGAACAATTTCTTTTTTCTAAAACCATTTATAGAGAACTATTATCTAAATCAGATTCAGATTCAGATTCAGATTCATTTATTTCTCAAATATAACATTACAGTATAAATTGCACTACATGTCAAAGTATAAGAAATTATATTGAGATCGTCAGACAAAAAGGAAAATTATAAGAAAAGCACACAATAATTAGAAAATTAACAATTCATTATATAATATTGTTGTCATTAAATTACATATCAAATATCATTCTCCATCAAGGATCGTCATAAGTTGATAATTATACAAGAGCATGTTAATGCGGTAAAAATTAGAATAAAAATATAAAAATAGAAAATACTGAATTCGTTATAATTTCATCATTTTCACGCGGGTTTTTCTCTGCAAGTGCCATGCGTCGAGGGACTGTTCTCAAATGACCGGTACGGCGAAGTGGGATGCCAGAAACATTTACAGTACCAAATGAAGACAGATTATTTCTAACGTACATTATAATTTCGTATAAGTAGAGCGAGTAGTGCGTCATTATGCGTTGCGCTACAAAGATTTGTTGCCATATTAACACTGTTTATAGATATAACAGTTTTAAGGCGTATAAAGTGTGCTCATTGGGCTGCCTCTGCGCCTGTCACCCTGAGGCATAACTTGACAAGTACCAAGTGCCTGTAATTTCACCAGCACCCGCACCCTTTCTAAGGCGTAACGCAGCAACGCGCGTAGAAATAGGTAAGGTGGCAGTACTTCGCTGGAAGAACTCTTTCACCAGGAGCTTTACTGCTATTAAATGGTGTTCGGGGAAGTGCCTTAAAGTGTATTCCGTTGCTCTGGTACTCAGAGTACAGGGATTTTCCTAATTTGATATTAGGCAAATGGTGTGGTTTTTTCTATTGTTTTTTTACACTAATAGTCCCGCACTAGAGAAATCCTGTATCGCGGGTGTACCGCGATACAGGGTGCTGTCTGTTAGGGTGATTGTCTACCTATATGTGTGACAGACAATCACAAATTACACCCAGTTTGTGTAAAACAATCGGTAATTAAATTAGTCAGGGACCGCGGGAAACCACCTTATCAAATATTATATTCGTTGTAATTATGTCTAGTGCACGCGGGAGGAATAAAATAAATATATTTGACAGATAACGTACTGTTTTTGTGTTCATAATAAAGGCCATTTTTTTTTGTTCTCTGACAATTAAAAGTGAATTTAAAATTATATTTCCTATGTAATGTTCGTGAAACAAATATTTCAATTTTCATTTATTAGCAATAATAAGAAAAAAGGCATATTATTATGAAAGTTTGGTTAGATCTTTTCCAAGGTGTGGATTTATTACAAACAAAAATTGCTATTGTTATAGGTTATTCCTTACACTTAATCATAGTGCAAAGAATCTGATAAGTTAATACAGTATCATTACGTATGCAGAATTATATTTCATTTGATTGTGGTACTATAATGCGTATACATACATTATACAATCACGGCAACACTAATGCCACAACACCCAGAGTCAAAAAAATCAACCTTTAAAACATAATTCACACGAGACAAATGAATCAAGTATAGATATATTTTTAATGCATAATTTTGTTTGTGTCGAAATTAATAGACCTTGCTAGTAGTATTATATAAACATAGTATGTCACGGTCAATATACATATTGCGTATTAGTAAAGATTATAGCTATGTGTTAATAACATAATGTTATTACTATAATTATATTACGGGACACTGATAGGAACGAGTCTCTGTTGTTCAAATCAATTAATTATACTTTATTACACAATACTAAAAAACCTGAAAAGGCTGTCTTATTGTTTCAACCAACATCCCACGCAATGTCGTTTGCAATGAAGTACTTATAAATAATTTATCATTATTTTTTCCTATAGTTTAGTAAAAATTTTATTTGTAGTGCAAACTGTTCTCATAAACAGAAAATGTCCAGCACGGCTTAAAATGCCGTATTGGCAGAATCATAATATAATAAATTGGCAATTCATATTATGAATTTCTTACAATTCATATAACGCAATACATCTATTTGCCACTATCAAATACATGAATTGCGTTTTTTGTTTTGTTTGAAAATTCATAATATGAAATGTCAATTAATCATATTATGATTCTGCCAAAGTGGCCTTTTTAGCCCTGCAGGAAAGATAATTTCATTTTCCATACAAAAGTACTTGATGTTGAAAGACCCAATCGACCCGCTGAATATTTTAAAAATTAAGAAAATATAGGAAAAATAAAACAAAAGAAAAATACAGGGACGTGCCAAAATGTCACACAAATTGACGAATTAAAATAATGCTTTTGTAATTATTTAATATAAGAAAACAATTTTTCCATAAAAAATTCTAAGTGCTCAGTGAATTACTAAGTTTTCTATGTTTCAAACAAACAAATGTGTCTTCTAACAGGATTGGTAGTCGAAAACTTTTGTAGGAAACTTGAAGACTGACAAACATGTTTTTTTAAACAAATTTATCGCCATACATTTGTTTTTATTTATAAACACAAACATCTTTTATTTACTATTATGTATGGTTTTGTACAAAAAAACTTGACTTACGCAATTGTGCCCCATTGGCACATAGGGCGAGGCAGAATAAACTTATTATTTTGAACTGAGCCATTGCTATACACAATCTTGTACTGTGCCTTGAATTATACGAACCTCATATTTATGTACTACCGACAGACCGGACTGGTTGCCCGGAGGCCGAAAATACTTTGCAATAAAAAGCAATTTTTTTATTTATGAATTATGCAGAAAAATCTAGAAAACCAGTTTTATAAAATTTGAAGGAATTGTTCTTTGCAATAAGGCTGTTCATTGTGTACGCACTCCTACCGTTTAAGGGTATACTTAGTCAAATAAAAATAATACGTGTATTTTATAATATTTTTGAACATAATAAATAGATGTTACGATTATGATTATAACCATACTATATTATTAAAATTAGGTTACTTATATAATTAATTAACACAACCGTATAATAAATTAGGCGATAGTAACCGTCTAATTATATGTATAAAAGTAATTAAAATAATGAATGCAAATACATGTGCCTTCTAATTATATTACTAAAAGATAATAATAAATTTATAACAAAATATAATAAATTATAATGAAGTAAATTATTAAAATCATTGTTATAACGCACACACTCATAGCCCTGCACTAAGGAAACCCTGTATCGCGGGTGCCATAGACACACATAGGTGGACAACCACAAATTACACTGAAACTCACGAGAGAAATAAATGTAGGCCATACAAATATTTCTCCCGGTCCGGGAATCGAACCCAAGCGTAGCAGTCTAGTATGGTAACCGTTCGACCACGCAGCCAGTTAAGTTATATAGACAGATCTAGCATGCAATAATTCAATTATTATTAATACTAAGATCGAACACAAAGAAAATTTCATGGACCCGATGGGACTTGAAGCCATGACCACCCTGTACCTTAGCGCATTGTTCTAAACTGAACTACAGGTCAAGTTATCGAGTTGACGAAATTCTCCTATGTGTTTTTCTTATAGATCTTTGTACTGGTTTTCGGCTTTCGGCGCCTTATATAAGTCAATTATTATTTGTTGTAATATTATTATCGAAAGTCACAATTATTTTTTGGTAATTGAGTACGTCCTAAATTTAGGCCAGTGCCTCTATCATAAAATTACAGTGACAGTTCTCGCTAGCGACCGTGTAAAATGTTTGTATTCAAAATGTTGTTTCTTATTGTGACGGCTAGTAGGCGCTGTATAATTTGCCATACAAAATTGTGAAGTAATTTACGCGGTCGCTAGCGACAACTGTCACGTCAATCTCGTGGGTTAAGACTAACTTAAACCGACAAATATGTACGAAAACTGTTATGCGTATCAAGTGGAAGGCTGTGACGGTGCTGATCTCCGTCATCGTCATCCCACCTTTTCTCATCATCCTCTTTTCTGGTACCACTCTCTTTTTAATTTTGTATCGTTCTCGAATTCCCTCTTACTTCACTATTCTTACGTTTGTCAGTCAGTTGTTTTTTTGTCAGTCGTCATTCCCATCGTGAAATTATTTATTAATGGGTGGCGTATTTATACAAACAAAAAATACTATGCCTCCAAACTATAACTGTTGCGAGATATGATTGTAGAAAGTTATGAATATACAGGGTTTTGTAAAGACTAAAATAATAAAAATAAAATCTTGCAGGACTATATTACTAACATCATAAATAACAATTTTTGATCCAAGACTTTTAATAATTCATCAGATTTTGCTTTCGTACAAAATTAAAAATATTTAACAAAAGACAGCACGCGTGAGGCGTTCCTAAACAACTTGTTACCAAATCTAGATCTAAAAAATGTTAGACAGTACAACAAAAACGTAAAAAGTTATAGAACAAGGGTTGTCGTTCATGTTGTTAGTAATATAGTCTTGCGAGGTTATTAACATTTTAGAAATAACCCTGTATACATACATACGTGATACATATCGATGTTGGAAATTTGAAATGTCTTAAAGGCCGTTTTGTAGTAAGGGAAAATCACTTTACGGCAAAATGTCTCTTAGGGCATTTCAAAATTCCACAGTCGATATAAGGTAACAATTTCGTCAATGTATCGAATTTTGAAACGTAAGCGGCTTTTTGTAGTACGGAACATTTTCCATTACGACAAAATATACCTTACGACATTTGAAATTTCCACTGTCGATACTCGTATGCATAGAAATAACGTAATTTCAAGCTTTACTATTCTACTCTCTGGAAATAATTACGATTTGGAGATAAGCTGCCATAGTATAATTATTACTAGTGTCAATGCCTTCTGAGTGATTTTACATTTTGATTTATGTCTTGTGAAAATACATAGCTTTGACTATTATATCTCAAATTGCTTACGGTTAGGGGACAAACACCCATAGTATTATATTATTTGTGTATTAAATTTTGTTTGTATAATCAACTGATACTTCCTTCTATAAATTAAGGTTTTCGCCTGTAATTTTAGTGGCCAAGAAATTAATAACCCTTTCGTCCGCTCAACCGCTTTCCCTTGTTCAAAAATTTCTTTCGACGTGTTGTCATCCATCATCCATCCATCCATCAAATAAACTTTAAATTTCAGTTTCATTTCACTGCATCTAATAGAGTTATGCTATTAGGCGATTATCACACTGCTCCGCGACACGCAACGGTGTGCGGAGCTAAGTTTTTTAATATTATACCGAAGTATCTCAGACCGAACTCGGGGTCGCTTTACAGTTGCAATGGAACTCGAATGAGCCCAAATGCGAGTACTGTGTGATCCTAGGACGGGTTACTTGTCGCAAATAATTGAATTTGAGTCGCGTCTGAACCCGAATTAATTGTCGTTAGATGTTGGTACATTTTGTTGTTTTTAGGGGTGATGAGCTTGTTTCGAACTCTATTTCGATGAAATATTTTCTTTAAGGACACCGATTAAAGTTCTGAAATATGTTTTAATGTACGATTCTATATACATCCGAGTAACTCAAAAACTCCCGAATTACTATTAAACAAGCCGGAACAAGTTGTATGGCGGGTATCATGCATGATTTAAAGGAAAATTATATTGCCTTTTGTGTATTGTATTGTATTAAATAATAAAGCGAAGATTTGGAACGATCTACCGCCTCCTATTCGATAAAATTATTTAATCGGAATAGTGTTCGGAAACAAACTTATTACCCATAACGCAACAAAATGTATCAACATCTATCGAAAATGAATTCGGGTTCAGACGAGACAAATTTAATGTCATCTCTAGAGGTGCAACTGAACCTGGGACTGGATGCGACTCAAATGTAACTATTTTTGACAAGCAACCAGTCTAGGGGTCACATGATATTCGCATTTGAGCTCATTCGTGTTCCGTTGCAAAAAAAGTAAAACCGACCCCGGGTTCACATGCTACAAACCCCGCATGACCCGTCAACCCATGCACGTTTCACCACGCAGCGAAGTGCACTTAATTTTATATAAATTGAAATGGAAAGAAAAAGCAATCACAGTCATGGGAAAAAATTTCACACTTCTAAATGTCAGCTCTATAAGCAAATTAAATTTTCCCAGTAGGTGCTGGTGAGTATATACATATAATATTATGGTTCCTTAAATTTTGCGCTTTTGGCAGCTGATCATAACCGCAAGTCAAGTCTACAGATTTATTACGTTTGGTTTGGCCTAACTATGACATATACAATCAATTAGCGTAAAGATGAATATGTCGAATATGAGATATAAATACAGTTTTATTCAGTTTTTTGGGCTCTATCGAACTATATATTTAAAATTTTGACAACTCTAAAAAAATCTGTACCTTTACACCCTAATATATTTTGTTGTCTGATACCAAAATCCAAGCAATTGAGGACGTAAATATCAAACCTTAAAATCAACATGAAAACTAGAATTGCCCTTTAAGCGTCAAAAACCATCTTTTTTATACGCGTTTTACAACTCTCCCAAAACATAATATTTTGTATTGTAACGACATTTTGATTTTATTACTATAATTTTATTCCGTTATTATTATCCCAAGCACAATATTAGGAAGTCAAATACAGTATTAATTGAAATTGTGCTAATGTATATATAAATTTGAAGTATAATATTATATATACATGAGGTACATACAAACCTCCGCAAACTTTTGGAAAAGACGCACGGCTTTCTTAGCACTTCCTTATAGCGCGCGTGAGAGTTTTAAATCAATAATTTCATCATATTGTACATAATTATGAACTTACCATCAATGAGTTTAGAAATTTTGTTCGCAATTTTATTTTGTCGTCAATTAGTATAAAATAATCAATTGCCATTTCTAAATTTAAAAAGGAAATAATTATGTTTAAGTCACGTGACATTGACATGGAATCTACAAATGTAAAGAAAATGAAATGGGGATGAAAGAACCACTATTTTAACTCACTTCTACTTTAGAATTCAATTACCTTAAAAGATTCGTTGGCAACTGTTAAAAGAGCTATGTTAAGATATAAAAAATGTGTAGGCGTTTTTAAAGAAGCACTGGCTTTTTGTTTTGTTCATTTATTTTGACAAGGCGCTCTCCACGATATATCGAAAGCACATACCTATGAACAAAGTTCATTTGCTGTCATGCAATAGAATTAATGAAATATTCTATAATGCACAATAAAAACACCAATGGTCGACCACAATGAATACTGATACAGTGTAATACAAGTAACGCAGAAAAAGCTAATGTAGAGTTCGTCCAGGGAAGTACTGTCACCTTACCTATTTCTGCCGCCAAGCAGTAACGTGAACATTACCGCATTCCGGTTTCGAAGGGTAAGGGTGCTGGTGAAATTAGAGGCACAAGGGACTTCTCAACTTATTTCTCAGGGTGATTAATGCACTGGCAGTGCCCTTCAGATCTTTGTGTCTCAAAGCTCTGAGTGCCGCTGCAACTGTTATGAACAGGCGTACCACTTACCACCAGGCACACGATTTGTTCGCCCCGTCACTTGATAAAAAAACATCCCTATGGCGACAATCACAACGCAATAAAACAATGGTCTTTTTGTACAAATAACTTTATCAACCAAAATGTATAAAATTTTTATTTAAACGTTGTTGAAAT